TGTGCAGAAGTTTAAAAGGCCTCAGGATGCTTCGTGTTCTTTGATTTATGGAGGGTTTTTTCCTCTTCTTTGCTGTTTCCTTCCTCAGCACAGGGACAAGCGTGAGGTTGATTTGAAGGTGCTGAGCTGAGCGTGCTGCAGTGTTTCTGCAGTGTGGAGAAGGTGGATTTAGGCTCAGGTAACAGGTGCTGAAAGCTGAGCCTCAAGACAAAAACTCTCCATTTGTGTTTTTCAGTTCTTGCTGTGCCCACTGCAGCTTCATTTTCTTCATTTTCTTCATTTTCTTCATTTTGCTTCATTTTCACAAGGTTTCCTCAGAAGGGTTTTGCAGTCAAAGTACTGAAATGTTGCTCCACTTGAACCCTTGAGTTAAGAATAATCTTGTTATCCTTATGTTATAATTATCTGAGGAGGAATTTGGGGAACAAGAACTGGTAAGGCAGGGATGGTCTGGTGATTTAAGCAGCAGACTTTCTTAATTTCAGAGTCATGCTTGAATGCCTCTTGCTTTCCAGATGTTGCTTTTTTTTTCTTCAATCCTTTTCACTACGTTGGTCCCACAGGCCTTTTTTGAGCTTCTGGATATCCACACTGTATTCCTTAGGGAAAGGGGGGCCATGTTTGGGGTGGGCAGCAGTCAGTGTTGAGCTGGAAATGCTAGTTCATGTATATTTTAGAGCTGTTTGTATTTATACAACTAAAGCAGAGAGATTGTCTTCTAGCCTGGCCTTCAGTGTGTTTATTTAAATCCTTAAAACCCCTGGGTTTGAGGAAATCACAATGGCTGTTGATTCAGATTTCAATTACAGTCAGCATATTTAACTTGACTGGTCCTTAGCTGAAGTGATCTCAGTTCTTGTCCTCACCTTGATGGACACAAAGAGCAGAGCTTTACCCACTTCTGGCAGTTGTAAGTCTGGAGAGTTTTACATCTCTTAGTACATCTTTAATGTCCAGACTTGGCAAATCCAGCCTGTCCAGGCTTTACTTGCTGAGCTGAGCTCTTTGGATAGTCCAATTAAGTGAGTGGATCCAGCCAGGTAAAACCAAGCTCATTGAGAGTTCCTGACCCCCAGGCTGCCTTCCCTCCCTCCTAGCAGCCCTTGTTGTTCCTAGGAGCCCAAGGAAGGCCAAGGTTTTCACCCCCGAGGCATTGTTTTTCATTCCCAGGGCCTTTTTATCATAGTGGACCCCATCAGCTGACCTTGGAGTTGCAGCTTAAACCGTGGCATTAATTTTCCTCTTTTTTAGCATCCATTTCATTCCTCCACCAGCAGCTATTTCAAACAGAGGTGCCTTACAGCATGGGCAAGTTATGCCCCTCCAGATTATCTTCCAGGCCTCAGCAGCCTTTGCAGTCTGGCTCTTTGCATTGGGCACTATCAGAGCATTCTGAGCCCAGGAGGTCACTTTATCTATTTCTGGTCTCAGCCTAAGTGTAAGGAGATGGTTCTGTGATGGGTTTATTTTTTCTTTCTAATTAAGGCTATTTCTTCATGAAATAGCAGAATGAAAATAGTAACTCATCAGCCATCCAAAAATATAAATAAAAAAATAAGAGAGGTCTATTTATGTTTCTTGGTGGATTTATTTCTACCTGGGAGCAGCGTGTGTGTGCTTTCAGTGTGGCACATGAATCTCAAAGGCTTAGGCCTTTAATAGCACAAAAAAATCATCTGTGACCTGCTGGTGAAGGTCAGCTTTGAACCAGCAGATATTTGGAGTTCCTGAGGTGTTAATCTCAATCATGGTGCTACAAGTCTGCATGATGGAAAGGTCAATTTGCCATTTTCTGGGCTTTACTCAGGTAGGAATTTTCAATAAAGTTGGTGTGGCTCTCTCTGAGTTGCAACTGTGGGAGTTGAGGGGGCATTCTTGAGATATCCTGTGCAGGGCCAGCAGCTGGACTTGACTTTGCTTGTGGGTCCCTTCCAATTCAGGATATTCTGTGGTACTGTGAATTACTTTGCTCCTCATGGTTTAAATGCTGCTGGTGTGGCCTCTGTGTGTATTGGAATGGAATGTGATTCCCCAAAATGGTTGTTGATTGTTGACTGTGGTTGAGAGGAGGGAGGAGAACTCTTCATGACAGGTCACTGTGTTCTGAGATTTTCTTCTGAAGCCTCAGCTGTTCTCCCAGAGTGGATTTAGAGCCACACAGACCAGTCTTGACAGTTCTCCTCTTCCCAGTGCCTTTGGAATGGCTCCACACACGGACAGACTGGCAAAAGGGAGCTCTGAGCTTCAGTCTGTGTTCCATTTGCACCTGCCTTTGGTTTCTCCTTTTATTGTCCCATTTCCTGTTTAGTTCCTTGACTTTTCCTTGTAAACTTTGTGGGTTTGGATGCTTCTTCCCCAGCTGTCTGAGCACCGTGTACTGGGGCAACTTGGCTTCTTCTCAGGAGCTGTGCAAGACCCATGGAGCTATTCCCAGATCCTGCTCTCTGCTTCCCAAAGCTGCCAGCCTAAGGAGGAAAATCCATCAGTGGTGTTTCACAGCTGTGGCAATCCAGACCTGTAAGCACTTGCCTGCTCACAGTCTGTGCAGTGTGATCACACTGAGGTGTTACTTGGGGGCCTTGTTGCCTCATTCCGGTGTTTTCAGGGATGTACACAAGCTGGAGACGGGGTTGTTTGTGTGGGGCCTTCCAGCATTTGTCAGTTCTCACCTTGCTCTTGAGCTGTCTGGAAATGTGTGTTGTCCTCTGTAGGTTCAGCTTTCTCTCTTGTCCACTATTAGCTTGATTTTATTGCTATTTTAGGAACAAAAAAAGCTTGTTCTTTGCTTTCTGCAACCTTTTAAAGGCTGGAAAGTGGCTGATGCTGTGCTGAGTTTGGAGTAAATGCTCAGTGTGATCCCCCTTGGTGCAGGGGTGACTCTGCAGCTCTGTCCCCAAGTCTCTGAAGTTCTGTTCCTCGTCAGATGTTTTCTCAGCTAGGAGAGCAGGTTGTGTAAGAAAACATGTTAATGAAAAACCATGTTAATGAAAAACCGTGTTAATGAAAACTCCTGCCCCTAGAGAAGTCACAGTTTAACACTTTAATTTGTCTGGGAATAGCTGGAGGGTTTACCATGATCCAGAGTGTTGAAATCTGCTGATGGCTGGAGATTAAAACCCTTTCCATTTTATTTCCAATGTGGCTTTTCCCAGGCAGGACTGGGATGTGACATTTTGTCCTCTAAGACAGGTGGAAGGTTTGCAGCTCTGGCATTACCTCACAGCAGCGTCTGTGCTCCGTGTCCGTGGCGATGCTGAGCATGAGGGATGCACTTCCCCATTTCCAGTGCCAGTCCTGGGAGCACCAGGAACATCACCTGTGTCCCTTGCTCGGAGACATTCCAGCCCTTACCACTGCACTGAGACTCCTTTTCAGGATTTTAAATGTCCTTTGCTTTCCAGCTGCCATTTCCTAGGTGTGCATCCCTCAAGAACTGCTGTTCGCACCTCATTTCCTGCTGCCAAAAGCCAGGCAGTCCCGTCTCACATGATGCCAGCCTGCTTCCTTTGCCCTGCTTACCTTTGGGTGTTGCTATTCCCCACTCCCCAGCTGTGGGGAAGGACACCCTTGGCCCGAATGCCTCGCCCAGGAAGAATGCAGACAGTCTGGCAGAGCGCAGGTTAAATAAAGTTTGCCTTGGCAGGGCTCTTGGATGTACTCGGAGCTGCCGGGGCGTAGTGGTGACGGAATTGCAAGCACGAACACCAGCTGCCAAGAGGAACGGGTCTCCTGGCCCTGCTGGCTGACTCCTGTCCTCTGGGAATCTTGAGGAACTGGCCAAATCACAAGTCTTCTCCCTACCCCAGTGCCGTGCCGACACTCCCAGCTTCGCTCCGGAGCCTCGCGGCAGTGAGGCCAACAGTGCTGCACCCCGAGCGCTGCTAAACCAGGGAACCATCCTGTGGGATTCATCCATGGCCTCTCCTGACTCTGAGGGGAAAGATTTCAGGCAGTGCAAGTCCTGACTGATGGCTGTGGCTCGTGCTGTGACATGGGAAGCGATTTCACATCTGGGCAGGATGGTTCATGGTTCAGGAACTGCCTGGCCAGCCCTTGAGTGGTAGGGACACAACATTCCAGTGCAGCTGCAAACACCTCCAAGCCCTTTTGTGGAGCAGGGATTTGGGGATTTGCAGGTGGTTACTGTAGAAAGGGCACAGTCCTGCCCCAGCAGGAGGGACCATCAGCACTTCAGTTGGATTTTGGATGGGAGCAAAATCCTTCTTGGCTGTGAGGGTGGGGAGACCTTGGCACAGGGTACCTGGAGAAGCTGTGGCTGCCCCATCCTTGGAAGTGTCCACAGCCAGATTGGATGGGGTTTGGAGCAACTTGGTCTAGTAGAAGGTATCCCTGTCCAGGGTGGAATGAAATGAGCTTTCAGGTCCCAAAATCAAACCATTTGGGGATTCTCTTATTTCATTGCCTGCCATCAGAGGTTGGAGCAGGACTGGGCAGCAGGGCTGCAGGATATTCATGGTTTGTCATCCTTGCAGTGTGTTTTAGTCTCCAGGAAAGACATCCTTGACTGTGCTGGTAGCAGAGGGACTGATGAGAGGAGCAGAGGCTGCCAGAACAGGGCTCACGTCCTTCCAGTCCTTCTTGAGGGCTGTTTGTAGTTAAACACCAGTTCCTCCAGCTCTGTCTCAAATTGTGCTTGGAGACAACTTAGGAGCTTCAGGCCAGATGTATCCCTGAGCTGGGCTTCCTTTAACAACCAGCGATTCACTTGGGCTCCTGTGATTAGCAGGGTGATGAGGCTTTTCATGGCCTTTGCTTTTCCCATTTGTCTGTAACACCAGAAACATATCCCATTTTTGGTGCATGGAAAACTCAGCTAATAAATACTTGTGAAAATCTTGGGTGTACAGACATGAAAACTCCATGTTAACAAACCCAAGGAAGTTGATTCACCCCTCCAGGGCTCTTGATGGGTGGAAATATCCCAACTTGGTTCCAAGCCAGACTGTTCCTGACCTTTCTCTCTCTCCCTGTTCCTGCAGGTGGCTGGAAGTGCAGATGGTCACCCTGACCTGCACCCAGCGCTGGGTCCAGTACCTCCAGTTGCTGCAGGAATCCATCTGGCCTGGAGGAGTTTTACCAGCAGTGCCTAAACCCCCCAGGACAGAGGAGCAGAAGAAGGCAACAGCAGAGCAGGCCCTGCAGAGCCTGATGGGGATCCTGCCCAGTAAGTGTGTTCTGGAGATTTGTCAGCTGCCCTTGGGATGGGAAAGTGGCTGGGGAGCACTCCAGTGCACTGGGATCTCTGGAAATGTGGTTCAATGCAGAGA